TAACTGCCAATTTAATTAAAAAACATAGTATATAAATAGGTAGTTCACGCAATTTTAATTTTGGAGATTATGTTAGAAAGTATAAAAAATCCTATAGGAATTCTCAGGTGAAAAATTAACAAGGGAAAAATTTTCATTCAAGTTTCTTTGAACTATTAAATTAGAATCAAATGAAGGATAGATTAATTTATTTCTCATTTTAAGTCAGAATTGGATATAATATCCTGAACCAAATTGATGTCTAATAATGTCTTTTAAGGAACTAAATCTTCCTCTGTCTACGAAGATTCTATTACGCTTAGTAAAGATAATAAAAGACCTTGGAAAGGGACACGTGCCCTGCCCTTGGTTCTGCACCTTTTCACTGAATTTATTTAGTAGGCAACTAGACAGGAGACATTTAAATAGAAATCATATAATTAGTTTATGTTTGATCATGATTAAGATAAATCTCATACGAAATTTTTATAAATGATATAATTGTGTAGGAAGTATGGACTACTTGGCAAAGTGCGGCCTGCACAACGAGTTGCACGAGCAAGCCAAAGGGAAGGAGTCGAAGAGAGGTCAACCAAACTCGAGCTTGTTGATCAAGCTTAACTTCGGAGATCTGATATGATGAAGTACTGCATGCAGGGGACTGAACCCCTTGCCTTTTGCATGCAAATGAGCGCTCTACCGTCTGAGCTACGTTTCCCTGGTTATAGTTCACTTTTGATTTCGTTAAATTTGATTTTTAATTGTTAATTGCAAAAGTTGATATAAATCATTCACTGAAAATAATCTTTTGAATTTTTAGACATTACCATCCTATTTTCTTTTTCAATTCTTTATTCAAATTCTAATGTTTCAAGATATAAAACAAATTCATATATATCTTATACTTTCTAGGCATACTTGGGTTAGAGAAATGAGGAAAAAAAATTCAAAGGAAAGAAATTGTAGCTCATATATATACCTTGTGCATCTTTTAAATGCAAAATTTCATTTGAAGATTTTCCATATAGCTCTTCTCTATTATCTGAATAAGGAAACCATTTTAACCGAAATCTAATCAGTTATAACGTCTGTCATTTAGGATGTTGTGAAGATATCATTTCACAACCAAACAGCAATTTGATGATCAAAGAAAAATTGATTGCATAAGCGTAGTGACAAACATTGTTATTATGATAATGGGATTATAAACGCAAGAATGAATTCAAAATATAGAGTTGAAGTAGATATTTAAAAATGGATAGAATAAACAATTCATGTGGAGATTATATTGGTTAATTATCATGAATCCAAAGCTTTTTAAAAACTTTAATAACAAACTCTAGGGGAAGTTTTAATAATTTATAGGCCATTCTGAATAAAAGATGCAGTCATCAATTCTTACGAGAGGCCACAATTAAAAAAAAAGAAAAAAATCCTATTAAACAGGACCTATATTTAATGTAAAACTCGTAAAAACCTAGTAAAACCTCACAAAATGATCAATTGAGTTTTCGTTATAACTAGATTACAAATACCATGGAATCCGTCTTATCTTTATATATACATAAAGTATGATAATTTGATGAATACTTTTCGCTCAACTTGCAACTGTACATGAGAGCTAGCTGTGTAGCTCTATGTCGGAGGAACTTATAATAAGAATAGTGAAAGCCGCAAGAGAAGCCACAACAGTCGTTTTAACTACTTAGTCAGTAGACAAGCAATGCATGAGCCAAAACCAGTCTGTTTAATAATCAGCTAGCATTTCCAATTGAAGTAGACCCAATACATACTCCCTGGCCACTGGCCATTAATATATTTCTCACCAAACACCTATGACCAGATTCAACCAGTTTATATATTTAGATTAATCCCCCATATTCTGCATAAAGTGCTCATGTTTTCTAGCTCCAGTTTTTTGGCCTTCATAAAAGAATCATGTTAAAGTTCTGCTGCTTTGTTTTTATTACTATTATACGATATATTTTTAATTTGTTATCATGAGAAACATTGAACCTTCTACCTCCGGCCTTTCTTGTGGATGTGACACGATCTTTGTTTCTAATCTGTAGTCGATACAAAGTTAACCTTCATATGTGAACTGTGCCAATTAGCTAGTCTATAAATACTCTTCCCAAATCTTTCCATGAATCATATATTTTCTTCTGCGAAGACAAATTCGATCCATTTGTCTAAGATATTCATATTTTGAATGGAAAAAGAGAAGAGTTCTAGCTCATTCTAACAGGCAAAAGCGCCCAAGAAGGGGCTCATAAACTTAATGTTTTATATACCATGCATCATCTAATATCAGATTTCAAGTTTTTCTACATGCAACTTGATGATAACAGATCTATTTTCTACATTTAATGTCAGGTTGTAATTTTGCGGCAGTAAGTGTCCATACATTCAATTTAAAATAAAAGCAATAAATGCACCCGCATGTGTGAATAGATACTTTTTATATATGTTATTTAGTCAATAAATTAGAGCGCCGCCAGGTGAATCAGGATCATAAAGGCTATGGACATCCATCAGGATAACGTATTGTCATCAAATGGACTTTTTATATTTTAAAATGTAGTATATTTATTATATTATCGCATGCAATTGCTTATAACAGGATAACATGAGACTAAATATCTCCATGTACCAAAATCCTTCTTTGTGAGTTTTTCAATGTCACTGTCACATGAGTAACATTCCATTGCATGCATGTGAATATTATATATAAAAAAATCACAAGTCATTGTTCTTGTCACTTCTTCTACATGTATTTATTTCTGTAAATTTCCTTGTTTTAGGGAAAGAATGGGAAAATATTACGTGAAGTAGAGAAAACTAGCATTGGAGCTAATGGTGGCGATTACAGAAAGTCTTGGATTAGGTCCCACATATTTAGGAAACAAAATAGATGACGAAATGCAAGTAATGGCAGTCAATTGTTACCTACCGTGCCCAAAACCACATATTGCACTTGGGTTGCCTCCCACATTCAGTTTATAGTTGCTTCACAATAGTTCTCCAGAGCTCACCAGGACTCCCAAATTTGCTCACATGATAATATGTGGATAATAAGTCGTTTATAATACTCGCATTTCATATCGGTTTTTAAATTGCAAAGGATATTTCTGTACAAATTACACCCCCTTAAATTATCGAAAGTTGAGAAACTCCTTCACTTCTTCTTGAAGCTTCTAATTTTTTAACAATTGAAAACATGACTAGAATTTTTATTAGAGGGGTAATTAGATTATATGGGTACAATTTATGTTGTAGGTTAAAATGGTAAATGAATATGATATAATGCAAATGTTAAATAATACTCCCTTGTTTCGAAATAAAAATCGTTTTAGCCTTATAAATTTTTTCCAAATAAATGTTGTTTGGTCAAATGCAATCCTCTCTCTCTTCTCGAAGTATGCCCATGTCTCCTCTCTCTCTTCCCTCGCCTCTTTCTCTCTCTTCTCTCCTCTCTTTCTCTTTTCTTTAAAAGCCATAACACAATTTTTCCATCAATCAACATTGTTTTTTTCTTCATTCCATTTCCCGTGCACTTTCAGGGGGAGGAGCAAAGAAAAAAAAATTTACATTAAAAAATTAGTTTATAAAAAGCGTACAATGACTTAAAACGACTTTATTTCAAAAATAGAAGAGTACTTTTATTGGTTGATAAGTGTGTAAGTCATTTGTCTATTGTCAATTGGGATTAGCTTGTTTTCTAACATAATAATTAGAGTGGGTGACTCGAGGAAAGGAAAGAGAATGTTGATGTCCTCAAGTATCTTGAAAGTTTAGGGTATTGATTGAAAGAATTCAATCTTTATTGGTCTTAAAAAACTAGAGAGAAGAAGGTGAAATATAGGGTTTAAGATATTAAATATTAAGATCATTATGAACGTAAGAGTATAGTTCTTTGGGGTGACAAATAAGTTCGCCAGGACAACGTAATAAATGCAAGTCGGCAAATTCAGAAGATATTCAACATGAGATTTGTGCCTTAAGCATTAAATGCTCCAAAATAAACAAAGCGCTGCCTAATTGGGAGCTTATAAGGAGTCAAGATTCTCCACTTTTTCCTTTGGAGGTGGCAGTAACCGAGAGAAAAGGCAACAGAGGGGAAATTGAGAGGGAAATAGAATAGAGAAGAAAAAAAAAGGTTTTTTTTGCACTTTTCTTTTGTGCCGTGTGTTTTTTAATTCGATTTGTTTGTAGCCCACAAGGCTATATTTCTTAGGTTTTATACCAGTTTGTTTAATAATCTCTGCGATTAATGTCTAATCAAATAGTCAAAGTCAGTCTTTTTATCGATGAGATCTTATCTTTTTCTAAGTTGGGGGCGTATAGATGTACGCTTAACACACAGTTCAGATGGTCAAAGTTAGTCTCCCCAAGCCAAATTTAATTTGTAGAACAGTATTAATATTATATATTCAAGGATTTTTCTTCTCTGAATGTTATGTCAAAATGACGTGATACGACTTACTTTAGATAGGATTTGTATTTTATCTTCACCTGTTATAGCATTCATATGTCTTGTTTAAAAGTTTTATTGTTTTCTTTTTAGCAAACGACATGTTCCCATCGAAGTTTCACTACCTCTGGTTATATTTATTCATGATTCAAACCCTTAAACTAACTATGTTAATTAATTTGAATTCTGACTTGTCTATTACATCCGCCCTTCACTTTTTGTTTCCTCCACACATCCACAATCACCATCCAGCCACCGCCAGCACTAGCTGCTGGCGTTTTCAACCTTATTCGGCTATTTTTCAACACAAATCACCTCCAACCTCTTCCTTGTAATTCCTGCACCAAAACCCACAAAATCCTTCACCGTTGCACCCTTCAATCGTTGGAAAACAGCATGTGCGTGGGCGTGACTTTGAATGAAGATTTTGGGCTGATGGATGATAACTAGTGGCCAAAGAACGCACAACAAAGACGAGGATGGGCGTCAAAAAAAAAAAAGGATTAAAAAATGTTGAAAAAGGGCGAAAAAAAGCTATCACACGGCAATGGGAATGGAACTTGGGCAGCAAACTGTGAGTGATGACGACCGATGAGAGGTTGGGGTTTGCAGAGGCGATGAAGGGGATTCAACTGGTGGCTTTGGGGTGAATTTTCAATGAGGGAATTGTCTGGAATTTCACAAAGTTGGGAGAAAACGCAAATGCCAAGGGGGCTGTTTTCCGACTATCGGAAGGTGCAACGGTGAAGGAGTTTGGTAGGTTTTGGTGTAGGGGTTACAAGGAAGAGGTTGGCTGTGATTTTGGGTGAAAAATTAGCCGGAACAAGGCTAAAAACACTGGCAGCTGGGTTGTGGTGGTGGTTGGATGGTGATGGTGATGGTGATGGTGATGGTGATGGTGATGGTGATGATGGCTACGTGGAGAAAAATAAAAAGTGAAGGGTATGATGGTAATAGCATAAGTCAAAATTCAAAATTAACTAATTGTGTTAATTTAAGGTATGAATCTAGAATTTAGGGGTGAGCGGTTCCGGGTCCCCTGCATTTTCCGGGAGAACCGAAACCGAAACCGCACAGTGCAGGTTCTCAAAAAAAGGAATCGGAACCGGAACCGCACAGTGCATGTTCTTCAATTCAAGGAACCGAAGCCTAAAATGCAGGTTCCGATTCCTTTTCAGGGTACCCTGTAAAAAATCAATTACCCCCCTACTAGTTTAAAAAATAACAAAAACACCTTATAAGTTTACAAATACACCCCTAACAAATTTTTATTATTCATTCATTTGTGTCCAATGTAACTCATAACCTGTAATCTCTAAGCAACACTTGAATTGTTAATCATTTAATTAAGTATTGTAATACTGTTTATAATAGAATATTATAATTAATTAAATAATCATACCATAAATTTATAATATAATGTTATAATAATTTGATTAAGTATTGTGTAAATTAGTAAATTACTAATGTTTATANTTGCAGCTGGTGGAGAAACATTCTCCTTTCCTAGCAATTGAAGGATATGGTTGTATTGCTCAGCAATCAAAATAGGACCAACCATTGACTCTGAATTCCCAGTGTTTGATCCCAAATTTCCAATATCCAATGGTTCCAAAGTTTGCACTTGATTAGCAGTGGCTTTTGACTTAGAGTTTCCTTTTCCTTTAGTAAATTGATAGTCAGGTGGATAACCATGTAGCTTGTAACAATTGTCACGTTTGTGTCCAGGAATATGGCAAAATTCACATTCAATATAAGGTTTTTTTCCCTTATATTTTTGGCCCTGACTCTGATTTTTTTCATTTCCAGTATGATTGGCATAAAGTGCAGTACTTATCTCTGGATTCAAACTCATTCCTGCCAATATTTTCTGGCTTTCATCTTGATTGACTATTGAATAAGCCTGTTTGACACTCGGTAAAGGATTCATCAGCAAGATTTGGCTTCGAACCATTGAATAAGACTCATTTAACTCCATTAAAAACTGCAATAGCTTTTGCTGATTTAAGTGCTCCAAATATGCCTTTGCTGAGACACTATCAGGTGCAGGGAGACTGACCAAAGAATCCAGTTCATCCCACAATGACTTGAGTTTGCTGTAGTAGCTAGCTACTGTATTAGTTCCTTGAGTCAGATTAGAAATTTCTCGATGTAATCCAAAAACTCTAGTCCGATTCACTTTGTTATACTGCTCCTTCAAATCTTGCCAGACTTGTGCAGCATTCGTGGAGTAAACTATACCATTAAAGATCTCCTTTGAAATTGAATTAAAAATCCATGCAAGTACTAATGAGTTGCATCTCTCCCATTGCGGAACCAAGCTAGAATGTACAGTCGATTTTGTGCAAGTACCATTAACAAATCCAAGTTTGTTTTTGGCACAAAGAGAGACTGTCATGGCTCGACTCCAAATGTTGTAATTATCAGTTCCAACGAGTTGCTCAGAGACCAGTACAGAGCCTGGTGTATTCGATGGATGAACATACAAGGGCGAATTGGAATCAATCGTCTGAATAGTTACTTCTTCTGTCGATGTTGCCATATCAGTTAACCAATACCAAAATTGATTGTTCCAAAATCAAATTCAAGTAGAAATCAGCAAAGAATTCAGGTTGAATCAAACCTAAATCAAGATTTTGAGCTAAAACAAAAAACCTAAAATCCAAGATTTCGAACTAGAAATTCAAGAAATGAAAGAAGAAAATCAGGTTTTAAGCTTGAGTGAGCTTGGCTGAAGTAAAGAGAAGCTATTCGATTTGACCCATTTCCCAGATTAAGAGTGCTCTGATACCATGTTAACAAAGCAGGAAAGAAGAAGACGAATTGTATTTTGGGAAAAATGAAAGTCACTCTTTACTAATGCATTACTGTTTCTTTATATACAATAGTCAACTTATGAGTTAACTAACTAAACAGTAGCAATAAAACTAACTCAACAACAGTTAATTAACTAAACAGAAATTTAAATTACACAAATGTCCTGTATAGCTAATTCCCGCTAATATGCTGACACGAGAGAAATTGGGATAAGCTGATTCTTCAATTCCCTTTCTCACTTGTCACATTACAAAGTGCATGAAAAAAGAAAAATATTGGCATGTTGACTTGACTTGGTCACCTTTTTCAAACTTTGTTTCAGGGCATTATTGCGTAGAAGTGAGGAAATTAGCCTTGGAATTAATGGGTGCAATTACTGAGAGCCTCGGAATTGTTCCAACCTATTTAGCCAAAAAAATCAATGAAGGAATGAAAGTAATGACAGTCAATTGTTATCCACCGTGCGCACAACCAGATATCGCACTAGGTTTGCCACCGCATTCGGATTATAGCTGCTTCACCATTCTTCTTCAGAGCTCGCCGGGTCTCCAAATTTTGGACTCAAAAAATGGCAAATGGAAATCGGTTCCTGAAGTTCATGGTGCCCTAGAAGTCCATTTTGGAGACCATATTGAAGTGCTAAGCAAGGGCATTTACAAGAGTGTTGTGCATAGGGCGACTCTGAATAGTGAAAGGACTAGAATATCGCTTGCTAGTTTACATAGTTTGGAGTTGGAAGAGAAAATGGAAACGGCTAAAGAGCTAGTGGATGAACAAAATCCGAAGAGATATAAAGAGAGTAGCGTCAAGGATTTTCTGAATTTTATCTCCAAGAATGACATTGGTGAGGGGAAAACTTTAATGGATACACTGAAGATGAAGAATTAAATAATAACTACTCATATGCTTGATCTGAGTCTCTGTTATTTCCTTCTCTATTTCCGCTCATATATATATATATATATATACATATATAACAACTCCCATAATCTCACTACAACCCTAATTGACTCTCATCATTATTTTCTTCTTCTTGCAAATTCAGAATGGTGAAGATAAAAGTTCACTATCTCTCTCTCTCTTCAGAGTCATTCATCTAATTCACACGGAGCCACTGGCACTGCCACCGCCGGCAAGAGTATTCGTTTTCCATGCCACCCAAGTAAAGCCGGAACCAAACCCAACACAAAAATCAACAAAAACTTTGAATCGGTTGGAAGAAATAAAAAGAGAGCCCTTGAGCCTGCAAAACACACATTCGAGAAAGCCAAGAGTAGCTATAAAGTGGATTCCGGTGAAACTCTGGTGAAGAAAGGTTTGCAAAACACTACTGCCATTGAAGTCAAAGGGTTAGATGATGAAGTGGGTTCTGATCAAAACCCTGCTGATCAGGGTGAAAGGAAGAGGCTAGTTATAATTAAGATGGAAACTTACGGCAGATGGGAGGGCAAAGATAATCAAAGATTCCAATCCGACTGGCGAACCACGCGCAAACTTGGAAGGTAACGGTGATCATGGAGCAGGAACCATCGAGGAAAAGGTTTAAGATATGCACACCATGGTGGAAGCCAATCGGCAAACCCAGAATTTCACTTGGAGCTCCAGGGTTATGCTCACGCTCATCAGATGCATACACGAAAGTTCTTTAATTTTGTTATTAGTAAATTGTAATGTCTCTTAATTTTCTGAGAGGATCTGGATCTCCATTAAATCTGTCCAAAATTTCATACAAAAAGTATATAGCAAAACATATTTACCTATGACGATATCAAGAGATATATAGTACTTGATCGATCAATAAAACTTTTGGTTAGACTAAGAAATAATTAATGATAGTCNCAGGGGACTGAACCCCTTGCCTTTTGCATGCAAAATGAGCGCTCTACCGTCTGAGCTACGTTTCCCTGGTTATATGTTCACTTTTGATTTCGTTAAATTTTGATTTTTAATTGTTAATTGCAAAAGTTGATATAAATCATTTCATGAAAATAATCTTTTGAATTTTTATGACATTACCATCCTATTTTCTTTTTCAATTTCTTTAATCAAATTCTAATGTTTCAGGATATAAAACAAATTCATATATAATCTTATACTTTCTTAGGCATACTTGGAGTTAGAGGAATGAGGAAAAAAAATTCAAAGGAAAGAAATTGTAGCTCATATATATACCTTATGCATCTTTTAAAAGCAAAATTTCATTTGAAGATTTTCCATATAGCTCTTCTTCTATTATCTGAATTAAGGAAACCATTTTAACTGAAATCTAATCGGTTATAACGTCTGTCATTTATGGATGTTGTGAAGATATCATTTCACAACCAAACAGCAATTTGATGATCAAAGAAAACTTGATTGCATAAGCGTAGTGACAAACATTGTTATTATGATAATGGGATTTATAAACGCAATGAATTCAAAATAAATAGAGTTGAAGTAGATATTTAAAAATGGATAGAATAAACAATTTTCATGTGGAGATTATAATTGGTTAATTATCATGAATCCAAAGCTTTTTAAAAACTATTAATAACAAACTCTTTCAGGGGAAGTTTTAATAATTTATAGGCACTTCTTGAATAAAAGATGCAGTCATCGATTCTTCTGAGAGGCCACAATTAAAAAAAAAGAAAAAAATCCTATTAAAGAGGCACCTATATTTAATGTAAAACTCGTAAAAACCTAGTTAAAACCTCACAAAATGATCAATTGAGTTTTCGTTATAACTTAGATTACTAAATACCATGGATTCCGTCTTATCTTTTATATATACTAAAGTATGATAATTTGATGAATACTTTTCGCTCAACTTGCAACTGTACATGAGAGCTAGCTGTGTAGCTCTATGTCGGAGCAACTTATAATAAGAATAGTGAAAGCCGCAAGAGAAGCCACAACAGTCGTTTTAACTACTTAGTCAGTAGACAAGCAACTGCATGAGCCAAAACCAGTCTGTTTAATAATCTAGCTAGCATTTCCAAATTGAATGTAGACCCAATACATACTCCCTGGCCACTGGCCATTAATATATTTCTCACCAAACACCTATGACCAGATTCAACCAGATTTATATATTCCTAGATTAATCCCCCATATTCTTGCATAAAGTGCTCATTTGTTTTCTAGCTTCAGTTTTTTGGCCTTCATAAAAGAATCATGTTAAAGTTCTGCTTTGTTTTCTATTACTATTATACGATATTATTTTTAATTTGTTATCATGAGAAACATTGAACCTTCTACCTCCGGCCTTTTCTGTGGATGTGACACGTATCTTTGTTTCTAATCTGTAGTCCTGATACAAAGTCTAACCTTCATATGTGAACTGCTGCCAATTAGCTAGTCTATAAATACTCTTCCCAAATCTTTCCATGAATCATATCTTTTCTTTCTGCAAGAACAAATTCGATCCATTTGTCTAAGATATTCATATTTTGACATGGAAAAGGAGAAGAGTTCTAGCTCATTTTCAACAGGCAATAGCGCCCAAGAAAGGGCTCATAAACTTAATTATTTTATATACCATGCATCATCTAATATCAGATTTCAAGTTTTTCTACATGCAACTTGATGATAACAGATCTATCTTTTTCTACATATTTAATTGTCAGGTTGTAATTTTGCGGCAGTAAGTGTCCATACATTCAATTTAAAATTAAAAGCAATAAATGCACCCGCATGTGTGAATAGATACTTTTACATATATGTTAATTTAGTCAATAAATTAAAGCGCCGCAACAGTGAATCAGGATCATAAAAGGCTATGGACATCCATCAGGATAACGTATTGTCATCAAATGGACTTTTTATATTATAAAATGTAGTCATTTATTATATATATCGCATGCAATTAGCTTATAACAGGATAACATGATGACTTAAATATCTCCATGTCATCCAAAATCCTTCCCTTTGTGAGTTTCTCAATGTCACGTTTCATCATGAATTAACATTCCATTGCATGCATGTGAATATTATATATATAAAAAAATCACACGTCATTGTTCTTGTCACTTCTTCTACATGTATTTATTTCTGTAAATTTCCTTTGTTTTAGGGAAAGAATGGGAAAATATTGCGTAGAAGTGAGAAAACTAGCATTGGAGCTAATGGTGGCGATTACAGAAAGTCTTGGATTAGGTCCAACATATTTAGGAAACAAAATAGATGACGAAATGCAAGTAATGGCAGTCAATTGTTACCTACCGTGCCCACAACCAGATATTGCACTAGGGTTGCCTCCACACATTCAGTTTATAGTTGCTTCACAATAGTTCTCCAGAGCTCACCAGGACTCCAAATCTTGGACGCAGAAAATGGTTCCTGAATTTCGCGGTGCGCTAGAAGTCCATATTGGCGACCACATTGAGGTGCTAAGAAATGGAATATACAAGTGTTGTGCATAGGGCTACCGTGAATCGTGAGAAGACTAGAATATCTCTTGCTAGTTTCCATGGTTTAAGGTTGGAAGAGAAAATGGAAACCGCCAAGGAGCTTGTGGATGAGCCAGGTAGCCTAAAGTATGGAAACAGCAAGTTCGTACAAGAAATATCCTTTGCAATTTAAAAAGCGTTATGGAAATGCGAGTATTATAAGACGACTTATTATCCACATATTATCATGTGAGTAAATTTTAAGGACGAAATTTTTTTTAAGGGGGAAGAATTATCACCCTCTTATACTTAAATTTATCGAAAGTTGAGAAACTCCTTCACTTCTTCTTGAAGCTTATAATCTTTTTAACAATTGAAAACATGACTAGAATTTTTATTAGAGGGGTAATTAGATTATATGGGTACAATTTATTTTTTGTAGGTTAAAATGGTAAATGATTATTGATATAATGCAAATGTTAAATTAATATTTCTTATTGGTTGATAAGGGTATAAGTCATTTGTCTTATTGTCAATAGGGATTTGCTATGGTTCTTCAAACATAATAATTGAGAGTGGGCGACTCGAGGAAAGGAAAGAGATTTGAGAGTGGGTGACTCGAGGAAAGGAAAGAGAATGTTGATGTCTTCAAGTGTCTTGAAAGTTTAGGGTTGTTAATGCTTGATTTTTGACACCAACTAATCGACACGTGCGTAACATTGATTGGTCAAGAGATACACGTGATTATGGATAAAATGTAGAGTAAATGCAATGAGAGCTTTTTAAAGTGGTTCGGATGCTAAGGTAGCAAGTCCTACGTCCACTGATAATTGTATTAGTATTGTGGGTCAGGTCGCAATAGCGGACTGACTTACAAATGATTAGGGAAATTAAATACAAAGTTACAAGAGAGAGAGAGAGAGAGAGCTAATTCAGAGTGTAAAATGGCCGAATCCCCTTAATGAAGGGGTCTTCCCCTTTTTATAGTGAGATGAGTGCAAATAATCATCATTAAATCCGTGGGTTGGTGTGAATATTAGGACTAAATCCGACTTTACGTCACATTGTCCACCTTCCAAGCTGATTTCACGTGATTTGGAGCAGGGAATGGACACGTGGAAGCTCCACAGCGTCTGGCAGGCCTGATGTGCGCTTACCGTTCTGACGGGAGTAGGTCACACTCCATCACGTGATTTCCCACGTCAGCCCTTGATTTCCCAGGCATAACAGAAGTCCCCTAGTTTTTAAGGTTTAAGGATCGAACCTTGGAAACTAAATCGTGCCGCGACTGGAGATTCTGATAATTCCGACCTGAATGAAAGAAGCTCGGGATAGGGCCTTTTGCGAACACGACCTCACACAAACTTCGCCCAAACGACCTAACAGCCGTCACCCAAGCGACCTAACTTCATCGGGCGTTCCTTACTGCCTTAGAGATGGAGATTTAATGAGGTCGTTTCTGCGCTGACAGGCGCTCTACGCGTGTCAGGCGTCTGCCAGGCGCATTAAAGACGTTGT